GGGCGGCTGGACCGCGCCGAGCCGCACACAGCCATCCATCCTCCCTTTTCCCTCTCTCCCCGGTCCTCCCTTCTCCGCCGCGGGCCAGGGAGGCACCGACCGCCACCATGAGTTCCTTCAGCTACGAGCCGTACTACTCGACCTCCTACAAGCGGCGCTATGTAGAGACGCCCCGGGTGCACATCTCCAGCGTGCGCAGCGGCTACAGCACCGCGCGCTCCGCTTACTCCAGCTACTCTGCACCGGTCTCCTCCTCGCTGTCCGTGCGCCGCAGCTACTCGTCCAGCTCCGGCTCTTTGATGCCGAGCCTGGAGAACCTCGACCTGAGCCAGGTAGCCGCCATCAGCAACGACCTCAAGTCCATCCGCACGCAGGAGAAGGCGCAGCTCCAAGACCTCAACGACCGCTTCGCCAGCTTCATCGAGCGCGTGCACGAGCTGGAGCAACAGAACAAGGTCCTGGAGGCCGAGCTGCTAGTGCTGCGCCAGAAGCACTCCGAGCCGTCCCGCTTCCGGGCCCTGTATGAGCAGGAGATCCGCGACCTGCGCCTGGCGGCGGAAGACGCCACCAACGAGAAGCAGGCGCTCCAGGGCGAGCGCGAAGGGCTGGAGGAGACCCTGCGCAACCTGCAGGCGCGCTACGAAGAGGAGGTGCTGAGCCGGGAGGACGCCGAGGGGCGGCTGATGGAAGCGCGCAAAGGCGCGGACGAGGCAGCGCTCGCCCGCGCTGAGCTCGAAAAGCGCATCGACAGCCTGATGGACGAAATCGCTTTTCTGAAGAAAGTGCACGAAGAGGAGATCGCCGAGCTACAGGCGCAGATCCAGTACGCGCAGATCTCGGTGGAGATGGATGTGTCCTCCAAGCCCGACCTCTCCGCCGCGCTCAAGGACATCCGCGCTCAGTACGAGAAGCTGGCCGCCAAGAACATGCAAAACGCCGAAGAGTGGTTCAAGAGCCGCTTCACCGTGCTGACCGAGAGCGCCGCCAAGAACACCGATGCCGTGCGCGCAGCCAAGGACGAGGTGTCCGAGAGCCGCCGCCTGCTCAAGGCCAAGACCCTGGAAATCGAAGCGTGCCGGGGCATGAACGAAGCGCTGGAAAAGCAGCTACAGGAATTGGAGGACAAGCAGAACGCCGACATAAGTGCTATGCAGGTACCGCGTCGTCCAGAACGCGGGAGATGGGGAGCGCTGCGGAATGGGGGTAGAGTTGAGGGCGCGCCGGGAAAGTGGAGACCGGGGGTGAGGCACCTGAATGCAACCCTTAGGGGTAGGCGCAGGCTCCTAGGAGACTGTGCGGTAGGGGTGGGGCATTTGGAGGGCGGGGGTAGGGCGCGACTGCAGTCTGGGAGCGTGCTTGGTGCAGTAGAATCTGCGTTCCGCATTAAAGCTACCCAGCCCTGTATGGGGGTTGGTGGGGGAGGGGAAGAAGTACAAGTTGGGCGTTGCCTGGGCCTGCGGTGACATCCCCTCTCTATTGACCTGCATTAACCACAAGTACTTTGGAACACCTATTGGCTCATCTGGTTAATATAGATAAAGCAAATACAATGGCGCTCCTTAGTTTGAAAGGTTACTGTGACCCGCATGCTTTCCGATTAGTTTAATCAACCACTCCCTTGTCTTAGTGGGTAGACAGGAATACAGTTTTAATTGTTTTAGGCAATTAGCTAGTGATGTTGTAGTAAACTTTCTTTTGAAAGGACCTCCATCTTTGGGAGTTGGAGGAAAATAATACAAATAACATAGGAAGTATTTTAGAGAAAATAAATGTTTAAATCTTACCTATTTCCTTCTCTTGTAAAGAAATGCATTCATTTTCTTGTATGTGATCTGGCTAAAGAAGTGTTCACCAGTGAGTGAGAAGCAAACTTTTCCTATCAATTTAGTTTCTTGGTAGGTATTTTATGGTGAATATTAGACTGTATTAATCAAATAAATTAACATTTTTTCCCATCAGCTCTTTTTTTTTCATTGTATGTTTCATGAAGCTGGATATTTGAGGCAAGAATGTTTTTTTAAAAAATAGAAGGCAGTTATTTAGGGGAGATGTGTTGGCAGGATTTTAATTGTGTCTAGGCCTTTGTAACTGTATTACTACAATAAAATAATGGCAGTAGGGATTTATGCTTTTCTCTTTTTTTGTCTTCTAACAGGACACAATCAACAAATTAGAAAATGAATTGAGGACCACAAAGAGTGAAATGGCAAGATACCTGAAAGAATACCAAGACCTCCTGAATGTGAAGATGGCTTTGGATATTGAAATTGCAGCCTATAGGTAAACATAGAGGCCAAGGGTGGCAGCCATTAAGACTGAGGAAGAAAATTAGATTCCACTTAAAGCTATGCTAAGTCAGAAACTTAAAAAAAATATAATATTGAAATAATGAAGTGTTCATTTTTTGCCTTCTTCCAAGAAGGTCATTTAGACAAATATCTAAGATTTAACCCTTTAATAATAAGTCCTGCTCTTAGACTTCTGATTTCATTACATTAAATACAGTAAAACTATTTAAGTTTTTTTTTTTTCTTTCCTGGTCTCAGTCACAAAATCTCCAATGATCAGTCATTAAATATTGATCATTGCAACCCTCCTGCTGCTTGCATTTGCCTTTAAGGGTGACATCAGGGGGAGTGATGAGTGATGGGCTCAGAGCAAGTTATTAAGCACATTGCCTGTGTGTTTGTGTGTGTGTGTTTAACCCTGTCTCTTACCTGCTTCCCCAGGAAACTCTTGGAAGGAGAGGAGACCCGGCTCAGTTTCACCAGCGTAGGAAGCATAACCAGTGGCTACTCCCAGAGCTCCCAGGTTTTCGGCAGATCTGCCTATGGCGGTTTACAGACCAGCTCCTATTTGATGTCCGCCCGCTCCTTCCCATCCTACTACACCAGCCATGTCCAGGAAGAGCAGATTGAGGTAGAGGAGACCATAGAGGCTGCGAAAGCTGAGGAAGCCAAGGACGAACCCCCCTCTGAAGGAGAAGCTGAAGAGGAGGAGAAGGAGAAGGAAGAGGGTGAGGAGGAGGAGGGAGCCGAAGAAGAAGAAGAAGGTATGATAAAAAATGAACCCTTACAACTGCAAGTGCAAAAAACTAGGTGTAGCTATTTCTTAGGAAATAGACGAAATAAATGATGGCTTGTTCATGGTATGCATTCATGATTTTAGAATCCTAACACATTTTCCTGTTTACTGAGCAAACCTTTAGTAAGCATCTATGATGCATGAGATGCTTGGCCAAAAAAAAATTTTTTTAATATTTATTTAACACCGCTGTTTGGTGCTTAAAAGAACAAAAACCATACCAAATACAAAAGAAGTACTGACAGTAGGTCTTGAAAAGGAGCCAGAGTTGAAATATTTAGGAGTAATCACGTCGATTGAAATGTGGTACACATTGCCAGTTCCATGTGTTTTTGGAAAGAGGACTTGGGAGGTGTTGGGTAAGCTTGTTTGTATTGTCACACACACCCTTAGCGGAAATGTTTTGACTTTATCATGTATTTGCATTTTTATAAATTGTCTTTTTATGTTAAAGCTGCCAAAGAAGAATCCGAAGAAGCAAAGGAGGAAGAGGAAGAAGGAGGTGAAGGAGGTGAAGGCGAGGAAGGAGAAGAAACCAAAGAAGCTGAAGAGGAGGAGAAAAAAGAGGAAGGTGCTGGGGAGGAACAAGCAACCAAGAAGAAAGATTGAACCCCTCCCTTTCCTTAATGATTCCAGGAATAATTCTCCCCAAATCAGGTCAACCCCATCACCAACCAACCAGTTGAGTTCCAGATCCTATATGAATTAAGAAGTCACTATATGTATAATTCTGAGATGACTTAGGTTGGACATTCAATGTTGTGCTATGAATTTTCTCCTTATGCAGAGTATCGTTTGCTTGCAGAGTGGCTTTCTGGCTTGCCGCCAGCCTGTGCATGGTTCACGCTTTTGAGTTCAGGATCTATGGCAATGTGAATCATTCAGATGTTTACAATAAAAACACAACTTGAATAAATGAATTCACTAATGTTAATGTTACAACTCCATGGAAAAATAGTCCTTTGAACCTTTGGTGGCTAGAAGTTAAGGACCTTGAGTTATGTGCAATAAATAGTAAATAAAGTTACACTGAATGACTTGTTTCTTCTTGTGTTTGACTTAATTCAAATACCTTAAAGATGGCACCAATATAAACCATGTAGAAGTAGACTGTTGGCCTCAAATTTTTAAAATAAAGTATCATACTTGATTAAAAATTACATCAGTTACAATACCTTTTTTTCCCTTAATTGAAAATGTTGAGGGATATGGTTAGGTCATGATTGTTCGTGAAATTGCTCCCTTCAAAAATCAGCAATAATAAACATAAGTCATTGAGAGAGTCTACAAATAACAATATACCTTGTCCCCTAAAACCTATTATATTAATATAGTAAAACTGAGGAATGGCTTTCTAGGAGCAGTCCCAAAACTTTGTGACAAATGCTCCCTTTAGGGTTCACAAGTCATTTCCAACTAGTGGGATGTGGATAGAGTATGAATCCCATACTTCCATCGCTGTTACTACATTTTTAAAAGTAGTCTAAATATCATGGGTAGAGGTTGAAATCTGAGCATATAGTAAATCAGGAGGAGTAAGTTTATCTCCATGTATGATCTTGGAAGGAGAGTATGAATATCAAAGGTTATTTGCCACTGCAAACATGTTGCCTGAGATCCTGAGCTCATGATTCGGTGTTAGCTTAAATCCATTGTCTCAGGTAAACAGCATTTCAAAAGGGCCACACATTTTAAACCTTTTTAAAATTACAGATATACATAATGGGATTATCCATCACCTAAGCGGGGAGATAATGTTCATTACATTGGCATTGCGTTGCATGTCTTTTTGGGGAAATACTTGGATGTGAATAGTACCTTAGCTGGTTGGACATTGTATCAAATATACCCCTCAACTGTCTTCCCTGTCCATTATAAAGTTATGAAAGCTCTTGCACTTGCATTTGACATGGAATATAGATGAAACGATTGACTATCTGCTACTCTGCTTCTGTTCTTAATTGCTTTGTCAGATCATTTCATTCGATGTGTTTTGGAGACAACCTTTAAAAGTTACAAATTTAACCTGAAACCCAAGTGTTCCCCATTTGACTTTGCGTGCCACCATTTCATGTTACTATACAATTAGGTGAAATATTTCTTTATCTACCATGATGACAAGGATTTGAACCATTATGTTTTTTAAACATGGGATGATGCACATGGGAAATCTCAAGACATGCCAACTAATGTGAAAAGGAACTTTAGCCAAATGGAAATGGCATGCTGCTTTGAAAACTACTTGGTTGAAGTGAGAACGCTGTACCATACTCTATCCTGTGTGCCATAATAAAACACTAAAAATCCTAAATTGAATGAGTTTGAAGTCTTTTGTAAAAGTCTCCCCCAAATTAGGTGCTGCAGTCAGTACCCCTTTTCCTTCCACTCCTCCCCAAACTCCAGAACTCTTAGTATTCCCCCACCCCCAGTAAGTGACCCCACTCCCAGCATGACTTCTCTGACATCACCTTGCATGTCAGCCTCCTTCCATTTCCTGTCCTCAACCCCTGTAGTCTCATCTGTCACCAAGTCCTGTTGATCTTCCTGCTTCCATGCCTTAAATCTACCCACAACACTTCACTTGCACTGCCACCCCAACAAGCTCACACTGTGGTGGGGGAAGCAGATACTTAAACGATGATCACGCAGAAAGATGGCAACCATCAGACAAGTCTCTTGCTGCCTGCTCTTGGGTTAGTACACATTGACCGCTTAGTTGCATCCCAGGTACTGTTCTAAGTGCTTTATCTATATTAATTCATGGCTCCCTTACAACTCTATGCTAATCTTTGAGAAAGCAAAGTTTGATTAGTGCACCCTTCTGATTAAAACAGCCCAGTAACTTCTTACTCAATATAATTTTTTTAATTTAAAAAAGGATACATTTAATTTTATCTATTATTATTTTTTAATTTGCTATAGGGCATGTGTGCTCACAAGAGAGAAAATGAAAAAGTAAGCCACCTGGTCCAGAACTTGAACCACAGTCAGTCATGTGGTAGTCCAGTACCTTAACCACCACACCACCTGCTGGCTCCTCAATAGTCTTTTAATATAAAACCTCAACTCTCCAATGTAGTCTTCGAGGTCTTCATAGTCCTGATCCCTACCTACTTCACTGGTCTCCGCCTGTGTGGACTCCCCCTGGCCCTCACTTCCAGCACTCCAGCCATCTTGGTCTCCACTTGCCTGCCATGGGGATTTTACTGATTTCTCTGTCTGAAGAACTCACTTTTCTCTCCTTCTCTCAACCTTGCCCGCCCAGTTCCTTTCCACACTTCAGATTTAGGTTTACATGTTATTATCTAGGGAAAGCCTTCACCTGACCTTTTGGTTGGGTCCAATTCCTCTGTTGAATGAAAACACTCCTAAGATTTCGTAGACTTTTTCCTACTAGCCTTTGGCATCCCTCTGCATGATCATTTTTTGGGTGCACTGATTCTCGCCACTACAGTGTGATCTTTCGGAGTGTGGAAATCAGACTTCTCTTTTGCTCACAATTGTATTCCCTGTGTGTAGCGTAGATCCTGTTGTAGTAGAAACACAAGTATTTATTGAATGAATAACTTCTCAATAGATTGAAATGCCTCACGATGACTAGAGAGCAGAGAGTATTCGATAGTACACCTCATTGTTGCAAGAGCAGGGAACCAAAAATCAAGTGTCCATTCTCAGTAGAGTCTAGGTTCTCTGTTCTGTGATGGAACACCAGCCACCCCACCCCTGCCCTCACCCCAGCCTCAGTTCGCTTATCTGCAAAGGGTTGAGCAGCGAATGTCTCAGATCCTTTTTAGAGTCATGATTCACTGTTTCCTGAAAACGTTCATTACTTTATCTTAGATGTTTAGGTTAAATAGCAGAATGGGTAACACACGTTAAGACTCTTGTGACCTCACTTAAATCTCTCACCTAAAAGGAATTGCTGTTCTTAGTGCAAAGCTTCATTCTTAGCACTAGATTGGTAAGCAATTCACTTGGTCATTCTTTTTCGCCCATGTGGAGATGGTCAGAG